GTTACTTACCAATGCACACCTTTACCCACTTTTTTGGCCCAGTTTCGAGGTCGTTTTGTCACTGAAATTGAAATCTTGGTCGTCAGTACACTTCATTTCGACGCACGCCACGCCCACTGTGGGCGGGGCTCCGCTTAGCTGATGTGTGTTTTGTACTTCGTGAGACCTTGCCCACCCATCCCACACTTGACCCGGTCCCTCCAGGCGGATCCCGAGGAGCTAGGGAATTTCGTGACAGACATACAGAACGACAGACGACAGACGACAGACGACAGACGAAGCGCTTTATAGTAAGTAGGATACTACAGTATAGAAAAAATGCCAAACATGGTATTGTAGAGCAGAAGAAGTACTTTCAAATGATATATGTGATTTCCTGGGTAATACTTGTATTCACTGAATTCGTAGCTCGAAAAGAAAAACGCTACGATATTATGCTCCAACCCAATAGGTGGGAGAGCTGTGGCCTAGCAAGAACATCATGGTCTAAGTTATAGAGTGGTACCGGAAACATTGGGCTTTTCAAATAATTTCCACACAAATTTCAACATAGTCATCACTTCAAGTTAGATGTTTCCTTGAGAAAATAATCAAAATTAAAGGAGGAATTCACGATTAGAATGAAGGTCGAAGAAGGAGTAATTCACCTAGTTGAGAGACCGGCGGACCTCCTGAGGGTGCGGACTGACGCGCAATTGGCACCGAAAGATTTGACCTCGGCGACCTAGCATGGCTCACTCTTGGCGCGGTTGGCGGGGTACGCCCACCGACCATCTAATCACTCGCCGCAGGTCTATACGTGGCGAGTGATTAGATAGCAGAGAGAGCGTAGTGTTGAAGAGGGCACAGCGATGAGTCGCATCAATGCGAAATCAACGGGCAAGGAAGGGGTCCCATTTCTCGGGTTCTGGGCCGTTTCTCATGGTTCTTCCTTCTTTCGTGTACCACTCACCATCCCTAGGTTAATTTGAAATGGGTTGCTTTTTCATCGTGAATTCGTCCTTTAAAACCACTATCATAACACTGATATGCATCCATTTGCCAGAAAACTTTGTATATTTCCCAGAATGGTGAAGCGGGTTGAAGGATTTGTCGAAGTCTCTTTGGGATGCTTGTATTTCTTGACTTTTTCCTCTTGCAGCTCCTGCTTTCAAGGAGTTGAAGAGGATAAGTTCTATGGAAATTTCAGGGCCATATGAGGGATAGGGTATGGAGGTTCAGCCATTTTCCTCAAAACGTGGTAATCTATGAATGAAATGTGATGTCGGGCATTCATTTGGAGAAAGGAGGTTTTATGAAGTCTTTTTTTCAATTGGGTAATTTTAAATTTTTCTGAAATTCTTTTGAGAAACAATTATTTTACATTTCAAAATTCAGAAAGAAAAAGTAACGAATTTGTGACAGTTCTGCAGCATAAATTTGAACGAGTAAGAGTTTTCTCAGTTTTCTCGTTTTTTTTTTTTCGTAGTTTATTTTCAGTTTCGCTGCAGTTTCTTTTATTTTTACCCATACAGACGTAATTCGTACATTTCTCATACCATCGATTAGAGGGCACAGAATCATGCGGTGACATCCCGAGAGAACCTACTTCAATTGAAAATTTGTAAACTCCGTCCTTCGTTAGGTTGTATTGCACATAGACATCGGAGCGTTGGTTTATCATCACTTTGTACTCAATGTAGTCATCCAGCTGAAATCTGTTCATTTTCTCAGAGTTCGAGGAAAACCAGAGAGAAGTCTATCGAACCTCCTTTGTTGTGATGTTTCCGATTTCAAACCATCTCATCCGATCGAAGGAAATCTTGAACACCGGCATCGGCTTATCCTTCTTGCCCATATACGAGATCACCGCCAGATTTGTCGACACCTGCGGAATGCGCATTTATCATTCTCATAATAGTGTTTTTTTGGCTAACTTACAGGATTCGTTCCTTCAGGTACCATGAAATCGTAAGAACTGTGTTCGAACTGGGGCTTGAACTGAAAGTGAGACCGACGTGATGCTGTTTCAACGCTGCCCTCAAGCAGAGCTGATACATCGTCGCTGAAAAATAGCATGATTTCAAGCACCGCCAGCTCTATAACTCACATCTGCTGAATAAATCCAAAAGAGACTCCTTGACACTTTCAAGACGCAGCAACGGCAAAACTGTGGTAATCATAGGCTACTCTAACCCGCTCGGAATAGATTCTTCAATATGACATCTTTTGGGGTTGTT